TATATATATATATATATATATATATATATATATATATATATATATATATATATATATATATATATATATATGAACAAAAAGAACAACTCGCACACTCCATTATACAATTGTATTGTCCCTCGCACTGTTTTATTTTCATCTTTAGTTTTTGTTTTAAAACTGTAGTCAAAATTACCGTGTCTAGCTTTACAAGTATCTAACTATGGTCTATTTAAAAAATCGATTTTTGACTTAATTAAGAACAACTTTTTTTTTACAGGATTTGATTTAATTATTTCAACTATTTAAGTTATTTTATAAGGAAAAACTTCTAATATGAATTCAATTGTTTTAACTTGATAAATTTTGATGATTCTTTTCGTTCTAAAAAATTTCAGCTCATTTTTGGTTAAATTTAACTTGTTTTCATTGGCTAGCTATACGATTTTATTATAATTTATGTTGTTTTTTTCATTTAGGTATATGTTATTATTTGGTTTGGATTGGGTGGCCGTACAAGCTCGTTTGAGCTTCTGTGCCTCCATGCTTTTTGCTGAATAAATTGAAATTGAATTGAATATATATATATATATATATATATATATATATATATATATATATATATATATATATATATATATGAATTCTACCGACTTACTGGCATTAATCAATTTAAAATTTGTCTTTTTAATTTTCCTTACTAAAATTTTCTGGAAATTGTTCAATTTGTTGAAAATAGAATTATCCAAGTTCATCATGAAAATTTAATAAAACTGTTGTTATCCGAATTCATCAGATAAGGCTTTATTTCTATTTTTCATAAGTCATCTTCAGTGCCTATTTGGTTTATAGTTTTTTTTTAAGTTTTAAACAATGGAAAGTTCTTCAGCAAAGTTTATCAGCTGGTATCGTATTCTTCATCTTTGTTGTTGCCATTCCTTTGTCCTTCATTGCTATTGAAGTTAGTATTAAGGCGTCGAGTTGGTAATGATGTAATCATTCTTTGTTGGATATTTATTTGGGGTTTATTGATATCTATTGGAACAGCTTTTTGTTTATTTTATGCATGATAAAACAAAAAAGCTTTTTTCGGTATTCCTATACCATCTTCGGTATTCGAATTGATACGTTGTGTATGTGCCCAGATGATCATATATATATATATATATATATATATATATATATATATATATATATATATATATATATATATATTTAGTGATAAAAATTGAAAAAACGAACTACAAACATATTAACGCCAAACATTCGGTAGAATTTATAGAATATTATATCAATCAATCAATCTTCGTTTTGCGTCCAGAGACCCGGTTTCCCGAGGTAGGACGTTGTTTTCTTTGCCATCAACTTTTTGCGCCAAATTAGACGATCAGTTGTATCCATTTCATTTAAATTTAGAGCTTTCATGTCTTGCTCGATTGTTTGCGACTAGGACTTCTTTGGACGGCCTTTGGGACGTGTGCCAGGTACTTCAACATTTGCAAGAGAAGTTATGGCACTGTTTCCACTTCGTTTGACATGACTAAACCACCGCAGACGCATTCGTCCTTTATATCATCTAAATCAGCACGACGCAGGATTTCGGTAGATTTGATGTGGTCCTTAAGACTAATTCGTTGCATCCATCGGAGCATGTTCCAGTTTGGTTGTCATTGGCCATGTTTCTGCACCATATAACAACACCGGACGTATCACAGATTTATTAAGTTTTGATCGTAATGGTAGTGGGATGTCACGCCGCATCAATATAGAGGCAAGGAGATGCCATTTATTCCAGGCTGCACGTATGCGTGCTCGAACGGCAGCTTCAGCTGTCCAAGTACAATCAAGAACATCCCCTAGATATTGAAACGATGTGACTTTCTCTATTTTAATGGCTTCAAAAACAGTGCTATTTCGAATTTGTTGTTGTGGATTGATGCAAGCAGGACAAACAAAATTGGACACTTTAGATAAAGTACCAATTATTTTTGAACAACGTTTGTGACACCACTGGTTACACTGCTGACACTTGATTGAATTGTTACCTACACCAGCTTTACAAACTGAACAGGGCCATCGTCCAGTAGCTGTGATTGGATGGG